GCTGCCCTCCGGCAAGCGGGTGCGCGGTATGTAGCGTGCGCGGGGGTGGGGTTTGCTCGGTGCTTTTATTTATTTATTTTCTTTTCTTTTATTTTTATTTTTTTCGGTCTTGACATTGGGATGAGGTCTTCTGTGTGAAGCGCAGGCGCTGCACATGAGCCCGAGTACTTTTGTGCAAAGCAGGGAGGGAAAAACCGAAGGTGATTCGGCTGCTTTAATCCGGGCGTTTATTGAGGCGTTAGTGGCAGAGCTCGTGTAACTTGAAGCGTTTTTCTGCAGTGACTTTGGCCCAAGGTTAGTAAGTATTGTTTTGTGAGCAGGACTTTCCTTGCGTTGTTTCTAGCAGATGTTGGAACCCGCATTTTAAAAGCGGTTTGATTCTGGTACTTTTACATTCCCTGGTATTTTTATATTACGGTAGCAGAAATTTAACTTGAGCATCTGACTTAATTCGTCTTTGCGCACTCTTATTTTTGCCAGACTTTCTGGGTAAGTTTAAAATCTGTTCTTAATATTTGAGCTCCGAAGCTGTATGAGCCTGAAAGGAAAGGTGGTTTTTAAAGATACCTCCTCTTTTTTTCCTCCTCCTTCTTCTTCTTTCTTGGTGGGTTGCTTCTTTTAACCAATGTTAGGTAAGTATGCTGATGAGTAACTCGACTCTCCTAAGTTTCACTTTTACCATCAAAGGTTATGTTTAACAGTAAACGCCACATCTTGCTGCCTGACTTGAGAACAAATAGCGGTTGTAAGCTGACTTCCCTTGCAGGCTGCTATTGGCCCAAACGTTCCTCCCTTGTTTGTAGGTGTTGTCACTCTTTGTACCCTTCTTTTTTCCTTCTTCAAAAGAGGATTTGTTTGCAAGCTGAAAACCTTCAGCCAATGATGTAAGGGATTCAGAAAAGGACAGTTCATGATTTCTTAGTCTCTTGACTTAAATGGGTTGTATGCACACCTAGGTAGAGCTTGTCCCAGCAAATAGAGTTTGTCGTTTTTGCAGGAACTCTTAAGGTCGAAAAACTGCAGGTCGTAGTCCTTGAATTAATTATCTTTGCCATGGCGTAACATGCCGTCTCTTGTATGTATAAGTGACATAGTGTAAATAAGAAATGTGCATGCAGTTCAACTAGCAAATGTTAATGGCAGTGTAAAAGTTCGGTGTACTGCTTCAGGTTTTTTTTTTGTATTTCTTGGGTATTTTGGGGACATAACTGAATGTCTGAGGGTTAGGTGTGTTTGTGCACGTTCTTGTGAATGAACGTATGCGTGCTCTTCAGCATGTAAACAGCTCTCTTTAATAGTTGTCTACTGGGTGGCCTGGGAGACATGTATGAGCATGGTGGTTATTGCTTAAGATCTACTACTTTAGTGGATTGTGAATGAAGAAAACGCCTGTGAGCTGTGTCTGCTTGACTTCTTAATGAGTTTTTTGTATCAACTGCTTTGGGTACAGGTGAGGGGAGTAGTAATGACACTGTCTGTAGTCGAGGGAAAACTATTGATAGACTTGCTCAGGGCGCCCATATCTAGAAAAGCCCTGCAGTCAATCAGCAGTCCCTTTTTTACCTGCTGGCAAAACACACTCAGCTACGTTAACCTTTGCCAGGTCTTAGGAGCCTTTGGAGTGTCGGGGTGGGGGGCCGGATGAGCTGAAATTAGGGAAAGTAAGAAAGAAGCTAATTTTATGACTTTTGACTTATGGCTGGAGAAAGAATGGCATCTTCCCGGCTGCTGGGTCGGACCTAGAACCGCAGAGGTCCTTAGCCCCTCTAAGCAGAGAAACACAGGCACTGGTTTTGTGACCCTTTCTCCTTGTACTCGGATACAGGTGAAAACTTTTTTTTTTGTGCTTCTTTTCAATTATTGGAGCACAGCAAAGTGGTCCTGTGCGATAGATATGTTGTCTCTTCTGCTCTGTGGCTCTTCTTGAAAGTAATGGAAACTAAGGCAAGAATCTCAGTGTGTCAGGGCCAGTAGGCAGTATCGCAAACAACTGAATGCTGTGTCTATTCGGCTTGTAAACTTGGAAGGAGGAGAGCAGTTTTCAGACAATTCATAATTGCACTGGGCACAGTAAGAGGTATCTAGTATTGAGGGATTCAAATTAAGGTGCATCTATTTTGAGAAAATATCAGCTATACCAGTCTCTAACTTGGCCCTGTTTTTTTCCCTCCCCTCCAAATGTGAGCATTCTTTTGCCGGAAGTACGATATCTAGTGCAGATGAAATCCTGTTCCAAAGTAACAAGTTAATTCAAAGGTTCTC